AAGCCAAGAAGCCTGGCCCCAGAACTAACTTCTGCTCCAGCTACTCCCTTCAGGGGCAGTAAAGTCATTTATTTCCTTTCCCCCCATGGAAAAAAGGCCCACCTCCTGAGCCAGCCCTGCAGGCTGAACAGCACCAGCCAGGCCTGGCTGCTGCACGGGCACAGCTGCAGGGGCCCTGCGCGCCTCGCACCCCAGAAACGCAGCGGGAGGGCAACCCTTCCCTCAGGAACTCCGCCTGGCGCTGGCCACGCTGCCTGCGGCAGCCTGCGGCATTAATGCCCCTGCACCCGAGGAAGCCCTGGGGCTCCTCATATGACTAAATCCAACATGTGCTTAAATGTTGTAAGAACTGCATCTTAATATGGTTTTAATTGTAGAGTTTTGGGGAATCATCTGTATTATCAGTGTTCATCACATCAAGTTCTATTTTGAAAATACGACTCACTAGTTGATAAAGAGTTTTCCCAAATTGCTTAAAAGATTAATAAAATAATCAACTTAGCAGAGGGGAAGAAAAACCACAAACTATTCCTGTAAGGAAATCACTTTATTGCCTATACATGTGAATGAGCTGTTTTAATGCTCAGGTTCACTGCCTCCTCTGCATTTAATCTCTTCCCTTTTATGTCCTACTCTGAATTTTTTTAAAAGACTTTCAGGCTTTTATAAAATTAATTATACAAATCATTAGTATTAAAAAGGTAATATAATGGTTTCAAGAACAAGCTTCACAGACTATCTGCATATTTAATCATCTCTGCTAATAAATTTTTAATCACTCATTGAGTTCAGGTTCTTGTCTTGAAGCTTAACTTGATAACAAACCTAGCAACTGGTAGAACTAATTGGTACAGAGCAAGTGAATAATTTATAAGAGGAAAAAGCACTGGGTGTTCTGGAGGTGTGCAGAGACCACAAGTCACAGATATTTCTGGGAGGAAGCATGAAAACAGTGGCTGACTGCAGGAATTTCGTGATACACTGCTGACATCCAGAGGCCAACAGTCAATACTGTTCACATATGTGAGCCAGGCTGTAAAGCATGCTGTAAAGTCAGATTCATTAAGTTTTAAATATTCATGCATTTCATTAAAGTTAACATTAATTGCACGACCATACACATTGATTATGCATAGACCATAAGTGTTTAACCTCTGAAAGCTTGCAAGTATATTCAAGTAATGGGGTATGTCCTATCTTGGATGATTTCAGCTACAAAGTTGAAATTAGAAATGGAATGCATTAGAGTGTGAGTACTAGCATAGTACTCTGAAATACCAGAACAGTCATAAAAATAATTGTTTTCTAATCAAACAGAAATGCTGATGTAAGCTGTAAATTCCTTTGTCTTTTTCTAACCTAATTAAATAAAGGTAACAAAAATTACATATAAGATTTCTTACAGAGAAATGCTAGATTGATTTGCAAGCCACAGCTAATAAATAGGTTTCAACAGTTAAAACTAATTGATAAATGAGCGGCTTCTGTTTAGACGAAGATGAATAGCTTTTAAACAACAGCAAAAAAAGGCTCTTCTCTTGAAATAAGCTGATTTTAACTTAAAAGGAGATACTGCAAGCCCACTATGGAATAATTCTACCCCCAGGGAAGCACAAAATGCTACAATTCTTAAACCAGGCTGTAACAGACAACATTTGACAGAAATTCAATTATCCTTGCAAGATCCCACTTGTAGTTAGTTACATACATAATCCTCTTTTATTTAATGGGTTAAAGCTCTCCTTCAAAACATTTAGTTGGATGACTCGAAGACTCACTACATTTCAAAAAATTCGTCAAGTGACTTAATAAGATTGTAAAGTAAAAACACTCAGAAGTTTAAAAATTTCACTTAATGCTGCCCCTGCAACCTTAATTCCGTCCATGTACGTATATGCGTTATGAAACAGCAGTGAATTAACTTTTAATCTCCTTTTTAGCCAAGAAGATTTTTAGATTGGAAACTAAGGCACAAAGGGCATGCCAACAAATACAATGCTGAGCTTTAGCACAATCTCTGCACTAGCTCACATCTCGCAGAGCATACCCCTGCAGGGCTAATTACCCCAGATAGCAAGCGAGGCTTGTGCACTTACACTGCTTTCAGTTCCTCTACATGGCAAGCTCAGTTCTCTCTTCCTGGCAGGGCACTACACATAAACACTGAGAGAAGCATGAAATTTTAAATCTGAAGAAAACAAGAAGAGTTTTCCAAACACTGTGCTTCAGTCTTTTGGCATCAAGTAAAGTTAAAAACATATCATTTAAGTATTAAAAAACCTTCTGCAAATAACACCAGTTTCTATTCTGTTGTTTGGGGTTTTTTTGGGTTTCGTTTTTCCTTAAAAAGCAGTCCATAAACATTCTGTGAGGTAGATATAAAATTGTCCACATTTAGTAGAGAAGCAAATGTTGGAGACAGATAGACTGGCTTGCCCAAAATAGTACTGATTTCTTCCTGAGCTGTTAACAGCTCCTGATTAGCCAATTCTCTTTGTGAAGGTGGGCACCAAAGTGTAGTATTCCTAATTAGAAGTGACAATTAACACACTGAAATTCTGTCTAAATAGCATTGCCTACACCCCCAAAGAACTTTATGGTCAGACACATCCTGGCTGATCTCATAGAAATTCCTTGCTGTTTTGTTCTGACTGGTGGCAAGCAAGGATCTTCAAAGTCATATATCAACAACTTGTACCAGTTAGTATATCTGGAAGAAGTCTGGGATATCAGAATATTTGAGTTTTGACAGGTGGTGTTTGGTTCTTTGCTTTTACACATTAAGACTACCTCCTTCATGTCTGTTTCTTGGGTAATATTTAAACAAGGAGGTGGCCTGTGAAGTCATTTAAACAGCAAACTAGATTTTATTAGTTTTACTGGTTTGTTTTTTTTTCTGGCATAGTCACAAAAAACAACAGAGTCCATGAAAGGTATACACATCATATAAAAGAGATTATGTATTCCCAGCAACATTTCAGTTTAGATTTTAATTAAGAGAGCTGTCAAAATGCAGGAGGAAATGCTTTGCAGTATAAGAAAGTTTTGAATACTTGACAGCTCAAATGTTCAAATCCCATGCTCATTAAGCAATACTTGATTTTACTTGGGTTTTTATTATTATTATTATTATTATTATTATTATTATTATTATTATTATTTTGGTTTCATTTTGTTTTTTGGTCTTTTTCAATTTCACTCGTGAAATAAAAACTGAAAAAGCAGGCCAAGCTTCTTGATGGTTGATGTCTCTCCACCATGTGATATAATCCCTACATTCTTTTTTTTTTTCTGATAGGTCCAAAGGTGACAGGTACTCACTCACTAAGCAGCTGGCTTCTCTGCCAAGCATGAATACATAAATACAAATAAAAATTACAGCAAAGCTTTCACATGTCCAAATAGAAATGGACTACAATAGACAATAGACATTTGTCAAGAGATGATTTAAAAAAGGGATGCAGAGTATATTTCTCCTTATTCTACACCAACATCTGAAACAAAAATACCTGAGAAGTAATCCCATTATTAAACCAAACCTGGAGAGGTTTTAATTAAAATTATTTTTAAGTACAATTTGAAATTATGTTTGAGGTTTAAGAGTTAAATTTATTAGACTGTAAAGATTTTTACAAAGCTTTCCCAATGTAATGAGCTTAGGCACCACATATGTTGCATCTTTGGTACACATTAGGAAGAGTTGCTTTTTTAATGAGCTTTAAAAACTACATTTGCATACCAGAGGAAAAGGTCAGTGATGTGTGGATCAAGTCGGTAAATTAAGTATCACAGTATTATGTTATTATGCTTGCCTTCCAGAGACACACAATAACAAAACCACAGGCTACAGTTACCACACTGTTCTAGCGCCTGCACGTCCGTGCCCTTGGCAGCTGACACATCCCGCACCGCTGCGCCTCGGGCTCCATCTCTCGCCCCGGCCCCCTTTACCTTCTCCCCACCTCCTCCCGCAGCAGAGCAGCTGCTGCGGCTGGCAGTCATGGACTCAGGCAAGCGCAGGAAGGGGGAGCTGGATTCAGTCTGATGGCCCATCTTCAAACACTGATTTTACTCCAGCCTTGAGGCTTTGTAAAGATACCCAGGACAGTGACCTGAATCCTCTTAATGAGATCAAATCTCTCGGACAGCAAAGCATCAGGATGGGGATGCCTCCTTCCCAAGTCCCATTCCACTTCAGTTTTTGTTCAATGATACAACTCTCTTTCAAAACACAAATACCAAAATTAATTCTAATGCTGTGGTGCAAAATTTGACTTGGTCAACTTCTTTTTAGCTGGAATGTTAGATACTTGGTAATCTGTAAAGATTGCTTAACTGGTAGCTAAATTGACATTTTTATTTTATAATAAATAATAAAATAATCTAGGAACTGACTGCAAATACACTTTCATGAGTTTTCAGCAAAGTCCACTGGATTTACCTTTATTTGTAAGTATTGTAAATTATTGATAATTTACAACTATTATAACATTACTTTTCTTTTTTAAGGGCAATTGAAATGGATTACTTCCTCAACTGTGCAGGTCCACAGTACTTAACAGGTCTTTCTGCCTCTCTTTGTGTCAGAGATTATAGGTATACACTAAAGGACATTATGCACTACACAATAATTATGGATGTTCATACATTTCACAGCCAAGTAAGTGACAGTCCAGCTGTGTATGAAGATGTAGATTTAGTCATTATATATATTAAAAATAATCCTTTAAAATATTACAACAAGAAGAGCACAACTCAAAACAACTGAGCAGTTATAAGTGGTTTTAATGATTTTTCACTTTTTGGATATGATAATCCTCGAAGTAGCATTCAAAAATATAGTGCAAAATATTTATTCATTTTATTTACAAATAAAATGTGTAGTTCAGCTTCTGATCCTTGCCACAGTAAATGTTATTCTTTTATGTGATGAACAGAAATGATGAGAAACATTTATAGAGAAAAAAGTTAATTTTAAACCTTAGAACAAAGATCTTCCTTCAGTTATATTTTTGTAGGAGTTACACAATATTTTTCAAAACTGTTTTCAGATGAAAAGAAAACCCAGAAAGTCCAAGACAACACTAAAGAATTACATAGGAAAGAATGGTTTTCAAAACCATAAAGTTAATTTTGCTGTGACAATCACAAAGCAAAGTTCTTATCTACATAGAATATAAATTTTTTTTTCAGCTTAAACATAGAATCTTTACAATGTAATGGGTTTCCCCCCTCCCTTTTTGCTATACAAATTGCCTTTGGGGGAAAAAGTATACCAGTATCTTCCTTTCCCTCTGATGAAACAGCAAATGCTTTGGTTAAAGAGCAATCCGTGCACAATAGTGTTTTAACTTGCAAGGCAGCACTCCTTTATTAAGTTGATAGAATTCCACTAGCTGGATGAGATCAGTAAATCTGGTATGACCATCATCGAGGGTATAGAATAGCTTCCCATCATCTTCCAACTGTAAAAATGGAAAAACAAGTTTTAATAAAATCCTCTTTTGCTATGTTTTTCTTTTTTTTTTTTTTTCTGACTGGAATACTTGTTTGAAAAGTGTTCTTACAGACCAACACATTCATAATCTTACAACTACTGTGAGCAGAAAAAAATACAGTGATCATTTATACATCATTAACATCTAAAGAAAATATTTTAAGATTTTTTTTTAAAAGACCAATAGGAAAACAATGTATTATTTCACTTCAAGTACGCACCTAAAAGGAAAGAACACTTAAGTAAGTATAGGAATACTCTTTCTGCACTACAATACTACTTCATGCCTTTGCTTTGGAATTATAGCTGGGGTTAATACCAACCCTGAGTTCTTATAGAGTGACATGAAGCAACCGAGTTTGAAGTTACTCATAGATTTCACCCTTTGCTCCATTCACTTCCATGATTTTCTATCACTTCCGTAAGGTGGGATGAGGCCACACACCAGTGCAGTGGGGTGCTGGATAGTATTAGCTCCACAAAAGACACTACCCCATTGCAAGAGTGACATGCTTGCTCTAGCAGTTCTTTGTTGTAGGGGGAAGAATTGCTTCAGCTCCAAATATGCATTAGCACAGATACAGAAGAGAAAGAAGAAACTTCAACAGATACCTTGAAAGATTCCTTTTGACTTTAAGATGCTTAAAAATTTGCAATCACTGTTTCCCTCTAAGTTACTGAATGTTAGCTCTTGCACAATTTATTGCACTGCTGACTATATAATTTCTTGATTTAGTTCCTCTACTGCTGATATGTCTAATATCAAGAGGATTTGTGACATAGTGACTAATTGGTATTCATGTAAATACAGGGTGAAAAAATCTATTCAAATTATTTTTAAGAAGAAAAGGGAAAAAAGATACTTTACAAGATTGAAAGAGTAATGAACAGAGGATCCTGAAGTAGGGCTAGCACGGAGTAGGAGATTATGTGCTAGGGAAAGATGCAACTATCCTACTTGAATACAGGGGAAGGGAGAAGATATAATTAGCTGTCTTACCTGTAATTAAGAAGTTTTATCTGAAGCAGCTGTTGAACTGCTTATGACTCCTGGTTACTCTACCCCTTTCTACCATGATTGGAAGTAGTTTGTAATTTCTTTATTCTCAGACTTTGGTCAAACCAGGTCAAACTCTGCTACTTAAGGAATTACCAGTGTGAGAATGTGTGAACTCCTGTGCTCCAGCCAAAAACCTGAAAATGGATTATCATTCATTGGACTTTCTTTACGCATGCAATTTTCCTGCCAACACACTGCAGGCAAGGAGAGTTAACAATTCAAATGTCTGTTATCCTAAGTTAATTCCAAACTTTGAAGTGAATACCAGACAGATTGCTAATTCTAAAGCTATCAATATTTTGCAAAGTAAAAACTCATATCAAAGTTCTGTTGCTGAAGAACCTAGCATCTTCTGCAAGCTAAGAAGGCTGTTATGAGAAAACATTTATTAGAAAAGACAGTCCCAGAACTGTGTATCAACTCTTCATCTTTCATATGGATGAAATTTCAGGATAGAATCCATTGAAGTGAACTTGCATCAGCTCAGAGAGTAAAGGCTAAAAAATACCTTTACACTAACAAGCTCTCCAATTTTCACAGTACAGGATTCCAAATGTAACCCAAAGGTTTCCTTCTGAACTTTTTACAATCAATTCCCAACTACCCGCCTGCAATACCTGTTGCACAGGTTGCCAATGTTAACACAAGGCACCTGTTTACATGGGTGAGGTATGAACTAGCAGGCTGCATACCCTAGCTAAAAGGAGACATTTTTAAGTGCAGCACAATCTGAAGCAACCTAAAATACAAGAAAAAACAAATTAATTTAGAGATTGGATTGTTTTTACCTTGCAAAAAGACTTTGTAAATTACATTTATTTGTTTACATTTAGTAAGAAAGTTTGCCTTTACAATGGCCGGAAACAGGAAAGTGTTTAGACCAGCAGAATTTGAAATTCAAAGAGGTAACCTTGATCTTCAACTAATAAGCTATGAATTCACTGCAGTAATATAAAATGCCTTGTTTCTTAGAAAATGATCGCTTAATTTAGATCAGCAGCAACTGGAACCAAAACCCTTCCTCCCTTAAACAACAATTTCCTGAAATCTTTAAAGAGCACCATTCTAGCAAAAACAGAGCATGTTTAAGTCAGGGTATTGAAAGTGCAATGAGGGTACTGAATGTAACCAGAAACTGACAGAAAGAAACTGAAATATGCCAATATTTGGGGGACAACAGCTTCCATGCTGACATACTCTCTCTGGACTGAGCTGTTCTCATCACAATTTATTTTTTTCTGGCTACTATCATTGGAGAAATTGCTTTACTTAAAAAACAATTCAAAAACATTTCCTTCAAGTAAGTCAAGTTTTGCAATGAAGTGATACAGGTCTCGATGAACAGTATGGGAAATGTGACCCAAGTCTGCTGACAACTATATCAAAACTAAGAATTCCTGGTTCCTCCAAAGATCCCACTACATGAGAGCAAGGTTTTAGCACATTCTTATGAAGGGAAGAAGAGAATCATCCATCTCAGAGGAAACTGAAGATGACTCCTGCTACACCTGTGCATAGAGAAGAGAGGGTCTGTTTCCTGATACAGAAAGGGCAAGTGGTCTCTTAAATTTGAGAGTTAAATGACATCTCAGTGAACTAGAATAATACACTTTGAATGGGGTTTAGAAGGTTTTCTAAACCACACAACAATTACACCAAAGTAAATACTAGAACTGACTACAGTCAATGAATGCACAAAGATCTTAAAACTGGGATTCTTATCAAGGATTATATGTTGATGATCCCATGGGATCCAGTGCATAACTATCACTTTTGGATGAAGGAATCCTCCATATTCTGTACCTAAACACAACAAAATCCTGGACAATAATCTGATCAACTTTCCTCCTCTCAAACAATGCTTCAGTTTTATTCTACATGAACTTTTTTTAGTAGAGGATATCAGCTACAACCCCTAGGTAAGGCATACAGAAATTTGGTGAATGATCAGAGAGAATCAACAGACAAAGACCAAAAAAAAATAGTGCCACTTGACTAATTTCTACTGAGAAACAGAATCTTCTAGAAACATCAGCAGGAAGATACATGGAAGCTAGAATATTATGTAGACTGGAAGAAAGGTTCTTGTAAAGAAAGATAAAAAAGCTCTGGGTCTGCTCAGTTATGTCAAGCATTTGTGACCAAAACACAAAATGATCAAGTATTTCTCAACTCAAGAGACGCAGCATGTAAAGAAATCCACATAAATCACCTCGTGAGAGAGTGGAAGCAATGGGGATGGCTAACCATTCTGGCAGGATAACTGGACAGTATGTTCAATGAAAACTAACAGAAATATTATTTCAGCTTAGTAACTTCCAGCTTATCTATAAAGCATCTGGAATAAATAATGATTTTTTTTTTAATTCCCCTGAAGAAGACCTGTACATGAATATACCTCAGTAACAACAAGAGAGGTCAACAAAATATTTCTGACTACAAATATTGAAACTATCCTTAAGACTCAGTGAGATATGGACACATGATGGAGGCAGTCCAAAACAGATGACTTAGAAATTGTGTACATACTGAAAAGTAAAAGGAAACATGAACTCTATTAATACATTATTTTCATGCCACCAGAGTTGCTTCTATTCCAGTTGAAACAAATTTGTTTAGTTTTTCAAGAAACTTTTTAGGATTTCATAATACTAGTCAAGCTTTAGAACAAATCAAACAGTAAAGCTCAAAAATGTTCAACTCCACTAAAGAATACTAATTATTATTAGTGATACAGGTATGATGTTTACATCTCCCCAAAACAGCAAAAGAAGAAAAAATCCATCCATATTCTACCACAGTTCTTCAATTTTTTGGTTTCACAACTCCATATATAAACTGAAAAAACTTACTTACTGGTACAATTTGAAAATGTTTTATTTTTAATCCATGACTCAGTGACAATACAAATGTTTTGGGGTTACTTTGGCTATCACGTACCAGGAATACCCTAAAAGAGACCAAAAAATTTCAAAGTAAGAACATTTGAAATCCTTTTATAAACATCCAGTTAAAACTGTTCTAAATTCATTACAGCAAGTATTAGTGAAAAGCATAAATAATATCAATTATGTAAGTTAGGCTTTTAATCAGTATTTCTTTGCCAATGTGTCACTGGGAATACTTTCTCTTAAGTTCTTCTTCACCTTGTCTATTATGTGAAAAACATGCATTCTCGGAATAAATGACACTGTAGGCGTTAGTTTTTACACTGCATAGAATTACAATACATTTCTTCAGACAGAAAAGCACCCTCAAAGTTTGTGCTTTGAACAAAATTTTTCTTTGGACTCTGACTAGAGAAAACTTGAATATTCTAAATCACAAGCACTATAAGTAAAATTCAAAAGGTAGTTCAACAGCAATTTTACAGAAAAGGTAATGCGAGGCACACCAGAATGTTCTTCACATCTGGCCAATCCTCATAAACGTTCTCTCATTTCTGCACAGCAGCAAAATTCCCAACAAGACAGAGCTACACTCTGCTTGCTTTATGGAATGATTATTCAAATCACGACACTCTGAATGGCCAACAGTGCCACTGCAATTAAATTTCACTGGTAACTTATTCCAACCAGAACATGAACAAACATAACTTTGCCATAGTCCTAGTAGAATAATTTGGTAAAGACAAAGGATGATTACCAGCATGAGGCAGTTTTCATTGAATCACCTGGCTTGGAATATTGGTAGAGAACAGTTTGGAGGACAGGGAAGAAGCTGGTAGATAGCTCTGGAGTGGAGCGAGTCTGAACTGCTTGTAGTGGGCAGGTCTGGAACAGGTGAAGCTGACCAATGCACCAAAGAAGGGAAATGGAGGGACAGCCACTGGCCAGCATGCTCCTCTTTCAGGGCAGAAAAGAAATGGGCAAAATGGACTTGCAGGTTTCAACCGAGCGAGCATTAGTGACCACCTAATCGTAAGTGTTTGCCCCCACGCACACCAGAAATGACAGCCCAAGTATTACATAAAAAGAAAGTATTTCAAGGGGAAGAAAAAAAATAAAAAACCAGCCAGAGGTTTGCAGTGGATTTTCACTGACTTCCAGCATGGATTCCAAGTACTAATTTCATTCTCAAAGTCTTTAAGACTTCTATTTTTACATAGTAAGAAAATTCCTGGCATTAAGAAGTTTGGAGTCCATACTCATTACCCTTTTCTGTCAAAATGCCTGTGCAGTGTAGTTGGGAGCCCCGTTACTGCCGCAGTTCCTCCCGAGGGCTGCTGCCGGCTCGGCTCAGCTCGGCTCGGCTCGGCCAGCGGCAGCGCCGGCAGCGCGGGCTGCGCTCAAACCGGCTCGCTCCCACCACCTAGCGGGCTCCCACCCTCCCGGGACACCACCGACACACTAACTTCGTGTTTTATGTTTGTCATCAATGGCTGGCACTTCTTTTTTTTTTTTTTTTTTTTTTTTTTTTTCAGAAAAATGGCGCTGTAGGAATGTGCCATTTTGTTGATATCCAAAATGAGGTCTCTATGCCCAGTTACTAGGATCCACATTAAATGATACACAATGTAAGCAACTTTTACTGGTTCTTATTCATCAGTTCTTTCACAGTACATTTTCTTACTTCTTTCCTAGTTTTATCACAAATACAAGGAACATTTCTTCTCCTTCAGATAAAAAGATCTTCATTATTTCCTAAAATAATCACAATTACCTACTTTACCTACTTTAGTTGTCAAAGAACCTTTAAAATTTTTGTTATGATGAAAGGACTGTAGTTCACAGAATCTCAGAAATGTTAGCTGGAAAGAGCTTTTTAGACATGCTGGATGACTCCAGTCAACGTCTCCCTCATGAACTTCTCTGAATGACGAGCTGGACCTTTTCACGGGCCTTTTGGTAATGCTCTTATCCCTTTCATCAACCATTTATCACTGAAAAGTCTTCAAATATACTTTAGGGGGTAAAATACAAAATCTACAATATTACCATGTGAACTTTTTTAAGAAAGTTCCAAAATCACCAGATCCAAAAACTTTCTTCCTTCATAGCATGCTTTAAGATGGTTGCTGTCCCTAATTTGGTTATCCAAATACTAAAACTACCGTGGTTAGTTTATAGAACTGCCTCCTTGTCTTCTAAAAGCCATCATGAAAAACATGTTTGTTGGTACATAACCAACAAACATATTACAGAAGTATTACAGAAGCCCAACTCCTTCGTCATATATGCATGAGAACTCCTTGCTCGGGATCACCAAGAAAGGCTAATATGGATTATTTCTCTGCCCTCACTCCCAGAAACTAAAATTTATTTTTCTCATTAAAGATGGCTGCATTTCTGGAGATAATTCATGCTTTCAGCTCATCAAAATGATGTCACACGATGTCATGTGTTCATTACTTCACTGTAACTCCTGAATATGTATCTGACAGCATACGAGCACTCCTACTATCAGAGTTCTAAATAATTCTAGATAGTCTACACAAAAGTTTCATCCTCCTCAAGATCCCACTGCACAGCTATGAATGACTCCAAGAATATAACATAAACAACACTGTACTAAACCAATGCTAGCAAGATATTCACTTTTTCATTTCAGTGTGTGTGCAAGAAATACACTGAAAGATACATCAGGCCTAGACTGACATCCTATTCAGAAATATATGTTGGACATTCATCCCCATGTCCTGTCTCACTCTTCTAACAAGTGCAAAAATAAATGTAAAGCACAGAACCAGATTCAAGATGACAAGCCAGGCTTAAAAACAAGACTCCAGAAATTAAAAAAAAAATAAAAAAAAAAAAAAAATAAAAACCACAAACAAAAAAACCCCAAAAGTGTAAGTCCAATTAAACATCCCTGTGCTGGGTTTGTCTCCCTTTCCTTCCCTTCACTTTTTTTTTTTTTTCCTGGAGACCTTTCTGTAGATGCAGAAAACAGTATTACAACATACTTAATCTAAAACTGAAAGAATTTAACCACCAATCTGATGATCCAGGTACCTAACTGGAAACAGACTCAAAGAAACTGAGTTTCTTATGGAATTATTCACTGAATGAAGGAGGCCCAAGTTTAAATTTAATACAGGACTAAGGATAAAATTGGAAGAATGAAAAGCACGGGATTTTGAACATAAAATGCCTACTTGCTTTGTCATTTTTTAAATTAGTATTTAAATGAAATACTTAAAAAATTAAAGTCTTATCCCAACATTTATTGTTTACTATTAAAGGATGACACAATTTTCAGTAAATTCATGAGGAAAAAAAAGCATACTTTTTTTCAATGTCTGTCCCAGCACAGTTCATCTTAGAATGCTGTTTTCAAGCTTTCTTTCACTCTTTCATCACTAATAGAGATACAAAAGACAGTGGTGCCAAGGCTGACAGCTCCAGAGAATCCTGTGCAAGGACACAGCTCTAGTGCTTGGCTCCGAATGGACATAAGTAATCAGTCAGTGACAGAATCTAAGTCCTAGATCACCACTTCATGGTTTCCAAATGATACAAATACAAACCAACAGATCCCCAGATAGCCCTACATAAAGGAATTTTTATTCCTATTAGGCAAGTGCAAACTCCTTACTCCATCTCCCCCCAGTAAGAGGCAGGTGAAAATAAGAGTTGTTGGCTAGAAACGTGTCTCAGAGAAGCTATGTAAAGGATTAACTTACCCATCTACAAGTCCATGCTGCAAAATAAGTCTCTGAGCCTCTTCTCTAGAGATTTTATGATGAAACCATGACTGAGATCTGTGTATAGCTGTAGAAAAAAAGATCAGTGAAAAAACGTTTTCCCTTTATTGAAAGAAGCAGTTATTGCATTTCTCTGGCAAGGAATTAACTCACACATACCCATGTTAGACATAGCAATAGGACTACCATGTGAGTTGAGTCGGAGACACCCTCTCCTCTGTATGAGAGAGAAGCAAAAACATGACTTCAAGGCTCTTTTGTTAAAAAAAAACCAACCAAACAAACAAAAAAACCTCCCACCAAAACAGAAAATACTATTCTGATAAATCAAAGGTATTTATACCCGCCACGCTAATCCTTCTTCAACTGCAACTGAAAGGGCTTCTGTTGGATTTTCTATAATTCTGCTTCTGTGTCCTGAGAAATCCATTGCTACTAAAGAATTTTCTGAAATGCTTCTCTGCAACAAAGAAAAATAAATTTAGTTCACTCACTTTTTTAAAGATTCATCATTTAAAAGCAAGCTTCTGAGAAAACATTATGTTTTGTAAGTGATATTTCAAGTATTGGCAGTGTTTCTCATCAGAGCCAAACTCATTTTACCCTAGGGAGCACTTACAATTCCAGTATGCTGCTGCAAAGCTCAATTTTACTGTCTGGCAGGACAGACCATCTTTTTGCATTACTGCAATGGATGACAAATACATCACTTTACCATAAACTGTATTTATATTTTTAACTATAACTAGCCCTTTCCATGTCAAAACAAGTCAGGAAACTGTTATTAAGATGTCCAAGTAACAGGGAAAAAAAGGTAAAATACAAAATTATTATACATCATGATCCAATTAAAAATATTCAAAATATTTCATTAGAAATATGTCAGCTTTATATGTTTGCTATATAAATTTCCATTCAGTTTATCATATTTAAGCATTGAAAACAGCAATTTCTATGGAGTATAACTTCTATTTTGATACATCCCTTCTAACTCTAATAACAGACTCAATACTTGCAGCATCTGTTATAAAAAAACTCTTGTGAAGATCAATTTTGTAAAACTGAATAGGAACATTGAGGTTTGACAAAACAGTCCTAAAAATCACCAAAATGTTTCTCAGAAACCAAGGTTTACAAAATCAGGTTTTATAAGAATTGTGATGGCTCAAATGTTAGCAGGCACTGGAATATCTAATAAATAAAAGAGCATTCCAGCACTCTATAAGTTAAAGCAACATCTGGACATAAGAGGCCCAGATTTCTGTAGGGTTAGCAAAGCTTCCCAGTCCAAAACCAGAGCAGCTCTGGGTTTTTGGGCTTTTTGGTTTTGGTTTTTTGGTTTTTTTTGCTTGGTTACAAGCATGAATATAACTAAAAACAGAAGACAGCAATTCTGTAGCTCACTGTAATTTTTGACACTGTAGACTAAGGTTTATCTGAGTAACTGTAACCTGTAAAGAACTTGGCAAAAATAAAAAGGGCAAATTAAGGGAAAATGTTTGCCTCTAGCAGGGTGGAGGGATATCTTTGTAGCCGACATGGTTGAGAAATGAAGGAATGTGAAACGTGGAAGTGGCTTCCTTATGAAGTACATTCATTAGCGTGTGCACTTAATCACGATTATTCAATTTGCTGTTTTTTTCATGAATTATGCACGAGTAGAAAAACAGTGCCATTGTTAGCAGTGGGGATAGCTTCTGCCTGTTAGAAGCTATGGGAACCAAAATGCACACAACAGTGAAAGAGGAGAGAATCAGTAGTGGCTCCCTGATCCATCATAAGAGCAGCAGCTGGCTATTGCAATAGCTTCACGTAACACAAACTAAGGCACAGGCAGCGTATTAAGCACATGCTTAATAAGCCATGCTTATTAGCAAGATCACTGAAAACTACTTTTGTGAATACCTGTGACAGCAAATGCATTTTTTAGGCATTTTATCAACAAGAACTACAATAAAAGCTAAAAAAAAAAAATTCACTATAAAATCATTGTCACAGATCTCATCAATAAGTAATTTTTATCCAATTTAGCCAAAAACAAAACACAAAAGGGATATAAATCATCCATGAAAAAGTCTGAAATCAAATGACTCATAATGAGCTGGGATAATGTAAGATATTAAGAAATGGACAACCTCATCCAATCCCAACTATCCGACTGAGAAGATGGACATGATATCTTGTATAGGCTGTTTTTTCTCCAAAACAGGGCAGACCATCTGCCTAATTATGGTTTTCCTCCAAAGTCCAGTCAGCATTACACCAGCTCAAATTCATCTCAAGTACTTAATATTTTATATTTTTTTAAAAATTAAAAGAGGAAGTATACCAAAAAGGATTTGTTACAACCTACTTATTCATCAGCATGTGTAACCTTAAACACTTTGCTTCTCTTTTAATGCATTTATGGTCCTGCTGCTTTGCTTTGTTTTCAAAATCTTCTTTCCATTCAACAGTAATAAGCCAATGAACTCCCAAAATACTGAAGATTTTACAAAGAGAAAGCCTTTTAACTCTCTTGTTCTAAGTAAGGAAATTAATTAATTGGCTCTCTAGTCAACCCTGGCAGCCCTAAATATTTTGGCAAGCACTGGCACATGCAAGGTTTTGAGGGAGCGGGTCAGCAGTGTAACTGACACAAGTTACTTGAAAAGAGCACAATGGCAGAAACATGTATTTATTTATGGAGCTACTGTGGGACATACCATAGGTGTTATATTCAAAGGGCTGCAGCCACTTCTACCTTGATATGGTTGCATGTAATTCTGATACAGCTGCATCCCATACTAAAACCAGAAAATAACATGGTTAGCATTTTAAATTATAAACCTAAGCCAAGTAAGGTTTTTTCCAGATGAAAAAGATAGCACACGCTTTTTTTACCATTGAAAACCAGGGACAAAAGCTGTTAGGCTAAGGAAATGTACATCATCACTGTTGCTGCTGCCTTTATAAATGTACACTTTGCATTAAATACTACCCATTTAATACACCAACTGGCCTGTTTCTATTTTGCCACAAACAGTCACATTTTAAAAACATTTAAGTTCCCTTGTTGTTGCTTTGTTCAACATTACTCAGTGAATTCAACAGGGTTACACAGAAGCATATGCTTAATGTTAAATATTTTCAGGACTGAGACATCATTCCATCCCTTAAAATGATTCCAGGATTTGAACTCTCTCTTCTTGTGGTGATGAAAAAAAAAATATTTCAAAGTACAAAACTGATACTGCTATTGCATGGGAACCTAAAATGATGTTACCTCTCTACTCACAGCATCAATATATCACAATGCACACTTAAGCAAGTTAACTTCACACAGAAAAATTACCTTGAGTAACCTAATTGCTGTCATCCAACAGGTCCTACTTTGTTCATCATCTGCACAGAGCTGTTTCAGGTCTCTGGTTCCTCCTGATTTGTTAGGCTAGAAGGCCACAGCACATTTTTTTAGCATTAAAGCATATCTTGAAGATAATACCTGTTGAAATAAAAGCCACTAATTCTCCTATTTTATAACAGACAGCTGAATATTGCTTTCAAAGCCTTAAAGAAACTTAAGCTTACCTAAAAACTGTGGCTTGCTTTAATATGTATCAGAATAATAAGCTTGTACCTTAAAGCAGAATCCATAGTTTGTTGGTGCTCCAGAAATCTTTTTGCCTGTTAAAGACATGTACATATCACTATTGCTGAATTCACAGAAAAACTGCAGATGCCTTGGCTCCTAAAAAGAAAGTAATGTAATACAGTTAGACTACTTTTAGCCAGCCTCTCCAGATAAGAAACTTGGAAGAATACAGCAGTTATCCTGTTCCAAACAGACTTACAAAGTGCAGTTTTAAACATGACATCATGAAATCTAAAAAGAGGCAACTCAATATTCATTTCATAATGCAGAGGAAAGAGAAATCAAATCAGTTAAAGAGTTTATTCTTCCAGAGGGGAAAAAACCCCCAGACTACAAGTTACATAATTTCTGAGAAAACTTCCACTAGTTTCAAGCAATAATAAAATTCGAGTAGGAGGCAAGTTTTGAGAGCAGTATGCATTTCAAACATCAAAACAAAATAAACTTTCATAAACTGAAAAACAACATACTGTTATAATTATTGCCCAGTACCATTTCTAACCATTATCTCTACCCCCTGAGTTAATTATGTCAAGGAAGCAAACAAAAGAAATTTGCCAAAGGATACAAACCAGCTCAATGAAAACTTTGGTCAGTAATGACAGAAAATCCAAAACATGAATAAACATTGGTTTGAGTAGTTTATGTAAAAGGTTTCTCAACTCCAATGTTTAATATGATAAGGCTTAAAGTACCACTGCCAAAAATCTGAATTAGTAACATGAAAATCTGTCCAGTGACAAATGCTGAGAATTTCCAAATTTATTTTGTAACAATTATTATTTTATATAATAAATTACTATATCCACTTATACTTCAGAAATTTAACTAGTATTTGAAAATTTGTTTTAACAGGGTACTCTGTAATGAGAAATATCAACCAGAATGAAGCAAACTTATGAGGCAAAAAGAAACCAGAGTTCCTAAGACAACATATTCCCAGTTTTGTGTCTCTATATTTTTCTAGATTTTATCTATAATAACTACATTTTTTCCTTTTTTTATCACTATAAGTTTAATCATTTGGTTATAAATTTTGGTTGTTATTATTACAACAAATGATAAATACATACATATTTGCTCTGACTTCATAGTTTTTGCTCTCTCTCTTCTTTTTTTCCTCCCTTACCTTAGATGTACCTTTAGTGGAAAAATAAAGGCCAGATCTTCTCAAAAGAAAGTACAATTTTTTCCATGATTTCTTCCCCTGCTCCTTTGCATGCAAATAACCATGAATCTCAGGATATGTGCTGGAGCTAAGGAACATCTGAAAGAAAGTATTAGACATGCATTTTTCTTTTCCTCAGAAATCAGCTTTGTGTTTCATTAACTCAGGGCTAAGGGGAATAACTCCTAAATACACTATCACACCAGAGTAATTCAGTTATGATCACGTCTAATCCCATCAACAGCACCTCTCATTTAAGGCATGTAAGAATGTTACATAACTCCAAGGTATGCTAAGCAAGTTACATATTTATATGGAACCATATGGTTTGAAATGAGAGCATTACTTCTGCAATATGTGAACTTCTGCAACTAAACCAGTGTAAGAAGTACTGATCCCATGCCTCAGACCCTATTTATATAAAACTGCTAATCAGTGTTAACAGCAGAAGAAAAAAATTATGTCCCTCCCCTCACCCACCACATTACAAACCACAGAAATTAAATTACCTGAGTTAAAATTAATTCAGCAAACCACAAAATCTGAGTTACAAAACCATGAAGGTCAGGCAGATATTAGCATTTTTGAAAGGAGGGAGTAAAGGGCTCTGCACCTGAAAGGTGCTTAAGGAGGAGCTTTAGTTGAACCAAAACCAGAGAGACTGGGCCAGTCCCCAAGACAGCTCCTGCCTCTACTCAGGATATTCAGTAACTTCTGTTCAGCCATTTCATCAGACACTGTCAGAGCACAACACAGCTCTTATCTTGCTGAGGCTTTGACAGTTCTACTCAGTCTTGCCGCAAAAGTATCCACTAAAAGTGAGCAACCATGTTAACTTTACCCTAATTCCATGTAATGCATTCATTTTTATCACTCCTCTTCCAGTAACACTACTCAGAACCATGACTCTAAACATATTAACTCAGAATTCTTCTATTTCCATATATGCCACAGAATCTGTTATTTCTGAGCTCTTTGAGGAACCTTGCCCCAGGACTGGTCTGTGGTATCATAAATTCTGTCAAGGTTTACATAGAGGTATGGCACAAAGGATTTTCTGGTCGATATCTGCAGTTTTCATTGCTGAATTTTCCTCCTACACACTTCTATTTCCAGAAAATCTTATTTGAGGAGTGAAACAACAGATTACAAGGCAAGAGATGGACTGGCCAGTACTGGACTCCAGCAGAATGAAAAAGTAAACACTATTTTGGAAGCACACCAAGTTCTCTGGCCACTAAATAATACAATCCAACCAAGATATACAAGTTTTCTTTGACTTTTATTGTTTTCCTGCCTTGCAGTGAGATGCACGGACCACACCAGCTGCAGTCCAACCTGAGCTGGTGTGAATACAGTAACACAAGCAGGGCTCCACTGGCCAGGGCAGTGCCCGGCCCACCACCAGCACTGCATTATGAGCAGCTTCACTGCTATTCACCTGAAAGCTCAATTACAGTAAGCCCAGGTGCATCTAGCTACACGTGCTGCTTCCACACAGCTGTGTGCAAATGAAGTTAAAGCTATTTTAGCCACACTGAAGCAGACGGGTAGGTTTTGGTACATGTTTCGGCTGTTCATCTTCCCTTTTGCCATGTACTAACAGGTTCACTGGTGGGAAATATGCAGGCTGAACTGAAAAAGTATAAAATCCATAAACAAAGTCAAATTAAAGCCTTAAGAAAATCTAAACAAGCCAATGTATGCAAAAACAAAAGAGCATCTTTTTAGGCTTTAATGTCTCTGCTGAAACTAAAAGGAGTGGTTGGCTTCCTGCCTGCACAAGTGTCTTCCCCAGGATTTCTGCCATAAGAGCTTCAAACCAGAAATGCTGTCATGAAAAACACTTCTCTTACTCAGCAGACCAAAGTGGAGGAGCAATACAATGCTAAGCTTCGACAGTCAGTGTTGCACCCATGCTATCAATTAAAATAAAGTAGCAGTAATGCTAGGAAAAAGGCAATCTTAAATCCATCTTTTCCTTTCTAAGGAAAGACAGCTGAGGACTATGTGAGAAAATAGAACATGAACAAGCTGTAGTCAAAACCATTAACTGTCAGAAGGATGAGCAGTAAAAATATTTCAGAGTGAGAACTGAATGTCTGTAATAAATGCCAAAAATGAATTATAGTAGGGAAGAAAATTTCCTTGGGTTGTTTTTTGTTTCAGCTTGGTTTTTTGGGGTTTTTTTTTGTTGCCCTTTGTTTTGTTGGGGTTTTTTTTTTAATGGAGGTACATACAAGTTTGTTAAAGGAAGAAATGGATCCCTGTTTATGCAGATAAAAATAAGAAAAATCCTTAGTACTGGAAGAATAAGGGAGAGCTAAATGATGGTACACTGCAGACAGGGACTACTGGTCACACAATATGCAGAAATAAACTTGCACCCTCTTCCCCACACAGAAAAATATATACCCTGATAAGTGGAGTGGTGTCAAATGCCACCACGTCCTTCAGATACTGATACAGACAGCATTAAGGAGTTGAAACATATGCAGTGTTTCAGGGAGTTAAATAAGCCATCATTACACTAGACTTTGTGAATCATGTTGAATTTGATGACTGATTTCTTCAAAGATGTGATGACAGCTAGCCATGATCTAGACCAATACTACTGGAAATGAGCTGGATTTTTACCCTGAACCTGCTGAAAAATTTTGGAAGCACCAAGTAATTCTAGTGAAGAATTGATTCTGAATCCCACTATTGTCCCCTGTAGACTTCAGTCCACCTGAAAGGTTTAGACTGGGAGGCCAACAAAACCTAGAGTGGAAGACAGAGTAAGGCAGTGGGGAGATTAAAGCAACATCCAGGAGATTGGCAAGAGACTGAAATGCAGTGCAGGTCTGTTTCAGCCTGAATCCTGGAATGGCAGTCATGTGAGAAACTGGTGAGGGAAAGAGGGACTTGCTATGGCAGGGAGATTAAAGAAATGAAAGCCTGGCTCTTAATAATGATCTTAAAATTGTCATACTATGTTCATTTTTGACATATTTTAAAACATCCAATTTGCAAAAATAGCCTAAAGCAAGTTCCAAATGACCCAGACTGCCTACCACTACACATGCACATACAGCATTGTGTCTCAGAGCTGCTATACCCTGATCAGTACAGTGACACACCTTCTCTGTAGGCTAATTCATAGCAGCAATTAAACCTCTCTCTTTGGTATACATAGACACTCAGTATATCCCAGACAGTACTTTTACTTAACACATGCTAAATGGATAGGAGAGTCATGAACATCTCTTTTGTTTTTGTGGCTCTGTTCTACCACAATGAATTTTTTGAATCTGCTCTGATTCAAAATCATCAGCCAAAATACTCACTCTTCCACTTTCAATGAGAGTTAAGAAAAACAGACCTTGAAAACATTTTACTTGCTTACAGCTCAATCCACAAAAGGATGTCAAAGTATCAGAAGTGATTTTTAATCACTTGTAAGCATTGAATTGTCAAACTAATGTATCTTTTGATACTTAACCATGCACATCACAAATAATAATGCAGCCCATTAACTTGTCTTAATGAAAGTTTCCAAGGAGATAGTGACTCACTGTAAACAATTTACCCAACAGTTTCTGCTGAAATGTGCACAATGGCTGCACAATCCACCAAGGTATTCTCTTCTTTGTGCCTATTAAGTTTCATTCAATGAAATACAATTAAGCATACAATACAACACAAAACAGCAACAGAGGAGAGTTTGCAACATGTTTTTCAAGCTACCAAAATGGCAAGGAACTAGATATATACTTAGAATGATTCGTAATCTTACCTAGCAGCTTTGAACATATTCTAGATCTCACAATATGGGCTTAAAGAAATTCTTCACAAGAATATATGGCAAACAGTTCTCTTATAAAAGTCTTCATTATTTTTTGAACTACTAAATTACATTTGTAAAATGTAATATAAATATAAATATTTATATATATAAAGATATTAAAAGTTCTATTAACATAAAAATATAAAGTTCTATTAACATAGGGGACAGAATTTTCTGAATTAAATGTTTATGCTAGACTGCAAAATCTGTATTATGTAGGTGGCAACAGGGAAACATTTTCATTAGATTTGCAGGACTTCGGAAATCACAAAAATTTTATTTAGGTTTGTAAAAATTACAGAATCTAATGTGTGTCAAATCTAATTCACAAAAATTTTTACTATATTTGGGATAATCTTAACATCTTGATTAAAATCCACTTTTATAAGGATATAATTATTTAATATGAAAGAGTGCTTTGAGAATTAGTTACTTAAAATGGTTTTCATTTACTGGTGGATGCTAAGGTAGACCTTATCATATAGATTTTTTTTTAAATTGTAATTTCTGTGTTTCTTTTGTTTCTGCCCTAAATATCCTGTGTTATGCTGCCTTTCCAATCATTCTTTATGCCCAAAACTCATGCACAGGGTTGCTGTCTTAAGACCAGTGGAAGTTCTTCTTCTATTATTTAATTTTTCTAATGACAAGCAAACAAGAGTGATGTGTATGCTTCCACCTTTATTACTCATTTTTCCCCTCTTTGAAAGTAAGACGATGATCCCTGATACAGTCATTTTGTATCTTCATTTCATTATTCCCACTGTAAATCAGAATCTTGTATCTGCTTAAAAGCTGACTAACACTGAGTGACCTACCATAATTTTTTCTGAAGGCTACAGTAGCCTTCAAGCTAACAAATCATACTAGTCAGTCTAAATTTTCTACTCGTTAAGTTTAACTATTTAACTCTTTTTTATATCCATTTGTGTCACACCACCAGTATTTTGGTATCCTACCATAGCCTGCTGCTAAGTTTGTTCAGCACTCCTCCACCTATTTAAGGAAAAAGGGTCTTTCACCTGAAATACCCAGTAAAGGTATTTAATGTTTTCCCTGTATTTCCTTTGTTTTGGTGCTTTTTGATTCTTAAAGGATGTCCAAGTTTCCAAGTGTGGACATATAATAGCTGCTAGGAAGGGTCACATTGTTTCTTATCTCTTGAAGAAAAAAGTTATTAACCATGTCTTGAGTTATTCAAAACTTAGCAACAGATCCAACAGCAATAAGGAACTGTGCTCACACAGCACAGATAATGGGAAATTATGAGCTGTGCTGGTTCATCTTCATTCAAGGATTACATACCTGTAATATCCCAGAGTGGCTTAGAGCTGCATTGGTCTCACTTGGAAAGGATATCATATGATCTGGAAAAAAGCTCTGTAACAACAAGAACTTGTATCAAAGTTCTGTAGAAATGAATACAAAACTTTCTCTTTTGTATGTGTAATTTAAGTTCTCAGAGCAGTGCAAGACACTGAAGATTCCCTGATCCAATAATTTAAGCTTACCTTAATATCATCCCAAAATTTGGCACATGCTATATATTATTTGCTGAAAAACACAGAATTTTGAGAAAACATCAATAGTCTCTGGAGCAGGGTTTCAGACACCAGTGCAAATCACATTGCAATATTTGGCCCTTAGTGTTGTTTTTCTAGCAGTAATTTCTATTGCTGTTGACACACAAGACTTGCCTGGGGAGTCAATATGCTACAAAGTAAGGAGGCTATACACCAACATGCTGAGAAGTGCACTGTTTTCTATTGTTTTCATTATACTAGAAACCCAGTAAAATATTTTGGAATATCTTCCACTAACACAGAAAGGTTGTCTCAGGGTTTTTTTTTAATCTTCTATTATTATACAAATTAACAAAAAAAATCTGACTACATAAACAGGATGGGGTTAAAAGTCTACAACTAAAATGCCAGTTTCATTATCAAGGAAAGCTCATGGGATAATTTATGGGACAGACCTACAGCTGGGGTGTTCAACACAGTCATGCAGATATGAACCAAACAAGGGTTCGACCATCACAAATAATGTTTCCTCAAGGCCTGGACAAATTTTTAAGTTAATATTCCCTTGGCCACCTAATGTCCAGCAATTTCCATTTTTAATGAAAGTGAATTTCTGGGAGGGTTAATTCATATTAATTCATTGTGATAAAGCATTCTTGCTACAGCTGGGACCAGAACACCCAGAAGAACTCTGCTTAGCTATAGCTGCTGAAGCTGGTGTAGCTGCAGGTCCGCCACGCTCCACAGCTGGCTCCACTCACTGGTTAAACAATACATAAACTTAATTTTTTGAGGCAACAGACAGAAACTGATGCATAGAAAGTCCCCCCTGAATATGAGGAAGAACTTATTTACTGTGTGGGTGGTCACATACTGGAACAGATTGCCAAGAAAGGTTGTGGAATCTCTCTCACTGGAGATATTCAAGAACCCTCTGGACGCAATCCCGTGCCATGTGCTCTGGGATGACTGCTTGAGCAGGGAGGTTGACCCATTCTGTGATTCTGTGAAAGCCTCTTTACTAACTGCAGACCATCTCAAGCTGAAAAATTTTTCACTGGTGTAGTGATATCTCCATATCTGGGACAAATCTATCGTGATTTGTCCAGAGACACACAGGTCAATCAAACAAAAAAACTCCCAAAACTCTTATATTTCTTGTTACCTTTACATTTACCTTTTTATCTTTTTCATAGATAGATAGTCTGAGTTCCCTTTCACTTTTTACCTTTTATCTAAGCCCCCACACAGTTCTGCTATTTCTCCCTTTTACATCTGAAAGAAGCTGGTTTTATAAGAGACAGCATTAGGAGATGTCCAAATACACCATGGAGCAACCAGATGGTAAGTTCCTTCCGCTGAGCCAGGACTGCTTCCATGGCCTTTGCCATCAGCCAAGGTCTGAATCAGCAGCATTAACCTTTGGCAACATCCCTGAGTTACAAGGTATCTCTGCTCTCTTTCCACTCCTTATGTATGCTAACTTTGGCTTCACTTTCACTTTCACTTACCCCTAATAGGTTATGGCTGCTCATGGCCTTTTGCGTCAGTTGCCATTTAGCTACAGCTGGAAGAAGCTGCAATTTGGCAGTGCTGGGCCAGAACATTCAATTTTCACTTCACAATAAAATCATCTTTCCTACAGGTGCCCCGCCTCACACTGCTTCATTTTATATTATGTTGTCACTTGATGAAAAGTTCACTGAGTTGCAAAAATTTAATTTTGTTTTATGTCCATGCGCAAATTTCAATACAATTAAACCCAATTGCTGCTCCCATCACTCCCAAACATAAAAAATTAACATGGATGTTTTACAAGTGTAAGAAAGGGACCAGCCAATGATCATGCACTACAATACATTGCTGTATTTCACATATTCCCTCTTGATTATTCCTTTTGACTCCTGTTACACTAAAAAATTTAAACTCTGACTATCTGTGTGCACCAAAAAAGACTGGTTTTTTTAGAAACAGTAACTGCACCACTTCACGGATATAATGTTAGGACTTACCAGTGGATTTTTAAAAAACTCATATTTTGCATAATTTTTTCTAAAATACAGTTTGGTTTCCTCTTCCATTACCCAATTTGACTGGACTTCCATCACTAATTCATGGTCTTCTATAGCTCTTCCTATAAGAAAACAAACAAACAAAAAAATTAAAGAAAATGCAAAAGCAAAAATCAAGCTCATGACTATCAGAAGACAAAGAACTCTCATGATCTACAGATAAAGCAGAGCAAAGTTAAACTTCCATTTAATTTAACTCACTCTTCATTGAATTTAACTGATTCTTGAGTCCAAAAAGACAGAGATTAAGGATGCTATATGAAAATCCCATTTTGTAATCAGATTAAATGAAGCAAATAAAACCATAAAGAAATTCAGAAAACAAAAAATACCCAAAAATAGTGAAAGGAAAGTAAGCATTTTGAAATCTTGTACAGGTTGTTCTACTCCAAAACACATTCTTCAGATGCAAGGGCAAAGAACTGAAGCTCTGAGTTAAAACCAGCATTTTTTTCCTTCAGTTTTATAGAGAGAAAGTGCTCCTCTGAGATGACATTTAAAACTCTTAAATGCTTGGCATTGTGACATTTAAGAAAACACCATTTTCTCAAGACTTACTTCTTGGTAGAAAAATATGACATTGTGCATCACCCCAAAGGATGGGTAAAGGTGCTGATATTTCTTTATTTTTAAGGTGTCACAGCAAAAAAATATTTTATAACTGAGTAAACTTACTTTTTTGAAGGAACTGAAACACTGAGTGCCCTCCAAAAAACAGCCCTGTAATCAAAACCCTAAATGGGGACATAAAAAGCTGCCTTTTAGATTAGGTAGAACGTTTTTGTCTTCCAACTAGACTGGAGAGTTTCCACATCCCTTTCTATCATCTCTTTATTACTGCTATCTCTAACATGAGGAGCACCTGCTACAGTCCACAACAGCCTCCTTAACTATGGAAAGTATTTAATGTACATGAAACATTTAATATTGGAGTACATGATAGAACACATTTCAAAAAGCCTCTTCTCCAGCCACCCAGTGGAGAAAAAAATTCAACTAAATAAAAAAAAGAAAGACATTGCTCAGCACTTTTGCACAGGTAGTGCTTTATGAGCCTTCCCAGCCTTCACAGACTACCTGAAAGAATGCAGAGTGAAATCAACATGTGACAGAAAGATACTCATGTGCCTGGCCAAGGCACTGCCCTCTATTCAAAAGAGGAGCCCCTAGAATATGTGTGTTCAGCTGCAGAAGCAAACAGAAAACTGTTTACAGCCAGCAGAAAAATTTCTCAGTATACAAGGAAAAATTTCTGGATGAAGATAGTACTTGCCTTACAAATGAGAGCAGTTATGGAAAACTGTTCTGTTTTCAGAGCCTGCCCTGCTCAGGGGAATTGCAGTGGCAGTATGGGACTCCCAGCACCAAGGTACTCAGTGGTAGGGATGGCATGGCATCATCCAAATTTAGGCACACTTCAGCTGCTTTCAATGATCTTAGACATTGTGAAAACCATTCAAGTTAAAAGAACACATACCAGTTAAAAGAACACATACCAGAAAGACACAGTTTTGAAATATATTGATTTATAGAGCTGCAAGAATTGCTGAACTTCAGATATTTGAAGCAGAACCCGTGCTATGCAAAACTTGGGAGGTAGGGAGGAAAGCTGAGCTTCCTGGCTGCCGAGGCAGCAGCAGTGAGGACACAACCACCCTTAGTGCTCAACAATAGAGCTCTGCACCCAAGGGCATATATGTGTGTGAAAACTGAAATATAGAGACCGTGGGTTTATGCTTTGCTGTAGGTGGGAGTTGGGATTTTTTTCCTTTTTAAACCTTCTCAGCAGATACCTCTACACAGCAATGAAGGCACAATCCAGTGATGTAATTCATGTCTGTCTTGATTAAAGTAGAACACTGTGCTCAGCTCACTAAGATTCATGCAATTACATCCAATTCAGCACTATTCAGACTGCTGTTAGATTTTAAAGAAAATGTTCACTAATTGATGGATGAATTATTAATCCATGTAATCCTGGAGTTTACACAGACACACACATTTGCTCACAGCACTTCTCCTTTCAATATCTATTCACCTAACTTATGAGATAAAAAATACTTTCCAAATTCACATGGGTAAAACATACAACAGTAACAAACAGAAAACAATCCCAAAATAACTCATCGTTTGAAAAGTATTTGTTCAAACTACTCTTCCAGTGTTTAAGAATATACTTAAAGCAAGTCAAGATGAATATGTTAACTCTTTCTAACAAAACCAGATCTAAACCAGCATCATGAAAATAACTCCATTATCATTCAGTACTCTAAAAATACATAGGGGGTATCTCAAATTGTTCCTTTCCTTGGCCAGTAATGTTGTATTGCCAACCTCATCATCGAGGAAATTATTTTACTTTTAAAATTAAGCATTCACCTTTTTCTAGAACTACACTGCAAGCAGCCAGAGCCATTGTAAGACTGCATGGTGAATGAAGGTCTTCAGCAATTTCGAGAATATCAGAATATTAGGAAAATTGATTTCACTAACTATCTGATATTGAAATCTTCCAGGAAATCCTCCAGATTGAAGAAAACACACTACTTGTTAAAAAGTGTACTGTGCACATACAGAAAGCTGAAGAAACAGTGCCACTATTGTTCTGGCATGGTTGCTCAAAGGCATCTTCTTCAATACTTACTACACTACTTAAACACCAGCTACCCTGCAAAATACAGAAAACACATCTGCTATTTGTATAGTACTGTTTTCTAAAGCCATTTTTCTATCTCTTCTTCTATACCAGTCATTTTCAACCTCAACCCAGATTTAACTCTGACCTTCCTCTGAGCTGGAAGCATCTTACAGCTGATATATTCAGTGCAAAAGGTTACCAATATCTTTGAAATTTTACAAAGCAAGAAAAGAAATTTGAAAAACATTTGTGTCTGCCTTCATAGGATAAAGGACTATAAAAGGGCAGAAAATAGTTTTAGCTTTTGTAGTTCATCCTTAAAATACAGCTGATAAACATAATTGAGTCAGAGATGCACAGTCAAGTTTATTTTCAATAAATGCACAGGGCCGGATCTCCTAGATACATCCAGAGGAAGAAAGGGACTCTAACAATAGCTTTAGCCATATTTCAATATCTGGGAGGGAGGGAGGGAGGAAGTGGCCAGGGAGAATGTTTGTGGGGGTGTTTGATTTTTGTTTGTGCTGTGTACATTTTTTTTAAATCAACAGAACTGGAGTTACCAGGTACCAGTACAGTCCCTTTTGAGAATTAAGAATTCCATGGAGTTTTCTATGTATTTTAGAATGCAGGAAGGCATCCAGAACATCCTCTTTTTCCAGCCACACTTTGCACGAGCAGATGGAACTGGCCTTGAAGTTGCAGAAGTACTACCTTTTTTAGCTCTAGTACAGTGCCAAAGTTCAAGAACAACATGAAAATTTTGAGTGATGTGAAATTATAACCATATTTCTTTGGCATTTGTCTTCTAGTATATTTTTTCTAACATAATTTCTTATCAAAAGCATACACAGCACAGTACTGAAACACTGTGCTGAAAAAGCAAGTACTATTGTCTAACTTGAGATTCAGTTAATATTACATTGCAGGTGGGCTTCTAAACTCCTCTCTTGCTAAGGAAAGTCTTTCCTGTATTCTGCATTTTTTACATCTCTGCAAACATCCCCTTTCTCCCTACAATTAATATTCCTTACGTTTTTTATAGTGCAAAAGTACACCTATACACTTCAAAAAGGAACAGAGATCAGACGTTATATTTTGAAACCACAGATTACACATCTTGAACTGTACAATAGAAAAAGAGAAGTTTTACTACACTAGAGGAACACTGACAATGTGAAAGAACTTTAGAACATCTTGTTACCAGCAAGTTAAAATACTACACATGGCATTGCTTCAATACAGTTCACTGGTCCTACGTGGAAGTTTGGAAGAATGGTTTTGTTTTCCTTTTAAAGTAGCACTGTCCCAGAGTTCACCATAAATCTAGCCAAACTGAATGTAGTGAAGGAAAACACTGACAGCCCACTCTGATATTATTTCTGAAAACCGAGTCCTATAGTAAAGATAAAATAGCACTGTGTAACCTCTTTCAGTCCCTGATGTCCAATATTTCACTCAGGTGTGCTAGGAACAAATAGGATTTTATTTCCAGTGAAAATAACCCAAGTCTTTCTAGAGATAAGCAGCAAACACCACCCATAAGAGAGAAAGGACTGCCAGATAAAACCAAGGTAGAGCAAGGAAGAATTTGCAGTGAGAACTTTAATTGTCAGTGTCTTCCAAACTGTTCTTACAGATGCAGATGAAACAGTGCAAAGCAAATGTACCATGAAAAAAATCTAGTTTATACCTATGCTTTCAAAAATAATCAGAAGCAACAACCCCAAAAATTAAAAATTCAGAAGAAACTTCCCATCATTTTGCTTCCAAGCCTAATAGAATCGTACTTCCATGTGAAAATGAAAACCAAACACCTTATTTAACATCATATCTTTATATATTATTAGTCTTACCTAAACCTGTGTGGGTAAGTTGTTCAAAGAGAGTCCAGCTGTGGTCATCAACATAGTGGTTCTTCAATATCAAGAGCTGACACACATCCCTGGCTGTTATATCACTTGGTACTTCCAAAGCTCTGCTAGTATCATCTTCACTATACACTTTGATTACCTGCAATAAATAAAAAGTCTAAAACATCCATAAGTTTAATCTTTGCTTCAGTTACTCCATATATGTTGCTCTCTCAGCTCTTCGTGACTGAGACAGGAACCCACACACACAGTGCAACATGAAAGACAGCCATTCCTCTCTAGTGCAATGGCATAATTAGGAACAGAGCAGCCAAGAAAAGCATATTTCGCTACTAAATCTGGCCACTGGATATCCCTTGCCATAGGAGACTGGCCAGATTGGTGCATTAGCTTCAAAAAACAAACCATTAATGGAGAGATAAATAAATGCAACAAAACTGTACATTCTTAAGTAAGCTGAAAAAGAAACCACACAGCATAAACAGTGAAACTCAAGAATTCTATGACTGCAGAACTGTAGAAAGATTTGATAAAGGGGTTAGTTCAGAGAATGGCAATCAGACTCAAGATGCTCACAGTTCTGTAGACAATAAAACAGGAGATATTACATACTGGCTTCAAATTTTGACACGTAAGAACTGGAATTCTTGCACACACATCCTCAGTTTAAAGGGTGCCCAAGATGCCTTTAACTGGTAAAATACTCCCCTCAGTTTATTGAATTTATCCATATTCATGAGAAAGCAAGACAAAACTCTCCTGAAATTTATGCACAAAACCTAAATACCATTGTAAATCCCTCATTAAACAGTAAGATACAAGTTCTCACTTTAAAGACAAACAAGCCTGTTACTGTCAGTCATTCTTAACAGCTGCCTTACCGAATACACGCTCATTTCAAGCATCTAATAAACAAGCAGCAATGTATTGTGCTCCAACTTGTCAAGGCAGCTCCCTCTCTGGTTTGTGCTGAAGTTGGTAGGAAAGTGAGCAGGAAACTCCAACTGTATCTCCTGCCACCTGCATCTTCCCACCAAGAGAAAAAAATCCAAAAATAATTTTTAAAAAAAACAGGTTCTCTCACTAATGTTTTCCAAACATCAGATCAAGGAAAAAGGACTCCATTTGTAAACAACGATGAGATTTTAAAGCACACTAATGGCCTTACTCCTCTACAAAAACCTATTTTTTCAGTGGAACTAAAGAGATACAGAAGTTTGGTTCCAAACTTTGGCCCTGCACATCAAATGAGTACGAAGCCTATGATATTTGCTTTAATATTGCACCTAATCAGTGTTGGCAGGTCAAGAGTTCCACACAATACTCAGCCACCCTTGCCACAACACCAATCTTCAGGATATAGCAAACATTAAATTCATGCTCCTAAAGTGCTGAAAAACCTCTCCCTACTCATGAATCAAGCACCTGAAAGCTGAGACATTCAAGAGAAATAGCAGCCCTTAGAGACAGAAGTTCCAATGTTTCCACAGGCCTAAGCTGCATCCCAGTATTTCCATTTAATCCAAAAGGCAAAAAGACCACATTGCTACTGAATTTAATACTGCCAAAGCAGGCATGGGGGATGGCTGTGGTTGGTTTTGTAAGATGTCTATGCTTTGGCAGCATTCCCACTGCTAAGCAAGAGAAACCAGCAGCAATGCAGCCTGCTTGCAGCAGAGACTGGCTCCACATACACAAAGTCCTACTCCAGTCACACAGAAATTATGTTTGGCCATTCACAATAAACCAGCATAAATGATTTAAATTCCTGCAATATTTACAAGGACTCAAAGAAGAAATCAAAAGATGTGTCTGGCAGGTGCACTGTGAAGGGGATGGAGGACTGTAGGGGTGACTAGAGGAAACAGTGTCCCATCACCTTAATAGAGGTCCTGCTCTGGGCAGCACTGAAGGTCACAGACAGCTTCATTAGTCTGTCCAGCAACTCTATGTCAGGCTGAACCTAAAGGATTTTAGAGGCTGAAATGCCAGAAAGGAGAGAGACAGCAGAGAAGGTGAAAGCAAAGGTAACAATTGAAGTAACTTTCCAAGCAATGACAATTGTTCTAAGTCCCTTCCAGCTGAAATATTCCATTCTGTTTCCTAATATTCCCGCAATAAAGCCAGGGTGGGAATCCATGTGAGCATGCTGGCTAGGGACTCTATGGCACAGAGCAGCAACTGCAGTTTTCCCCAGGCACTCATCAAGTTCAGTGATATGCTTATTTTACAGCAAGAGCACGTACAGCCCATGCTGAGGCTCTTGACGGATATTTTAACAGAAATTCTTTTTAAAAGGGTTAAGAGTCGCAGTGCAGATGACTTCACTCTTATTGCTAGAGAAACGGAAAAAGAGTTTTTAAAATGCTGGAGACAGCAACACAAGCCATGATAATGAGCTGCCTGTGGCCATTCAGCTCAGGGAGTGGGATGCCTTGGAGGTGGCCTTGGACTACTGGAGCTCAGCTAAAGCAAAACAAAACAACACAACAAAAAAAAAAACAATGAGAAAAAAACCCAGTTTATATTCTCTGTGAGTATTCTCACTCAGTTTTCTCAGTATAGGGAAACAAATCCTGCTCAAGTCTAGGAGAACACATCACCCCAGCTCACAGCTATGATGGGGTACCTTATCAAACACAAATGCTGCGACCTTTTTCTCTTCTTTGCAAGGGATTCAGATGCAGCAGGAGACAAGAGTCACCTAATAAGACTCTCATCAACTTCTGTCACACATTTTGCCTAACAAATTGGTGTAAATCTCATCACTTCGAGTGATCTTTGAGGGGTTTTTTTAATTAGAAGTTGCTCAGTATGCACTTGGTGCTGTGTTTGAAGCAAAGTCTCTTGTAAGATTGTAAGAACATACTTATTCCAAGAGGAGCAGATCAGATGAAAAAGGATAAATTCAAAATCCCATTTTTCCTTGGAAATATCTTGCGATACTTCTCTTCCTAGAAGTAGAGGATGCTTTGAGAATTAAAGGGTGGCAGAGCAATGCTAAAGATGCAGCCATGCTGACTTCCTATAGAAATGAGTAAGCTTGAATGATCACTTTACTTTTATTAGCGGCTCTCACCGTGTATTTGACTGGCCAGTCATCTCCACTTTCTTCCATTTTTTTTCCCCTGAAAAATTTGTCTGAGAAGTAGCACACAAGAAAAGAGCTGCTAATTGAGAACCAGCTCTCATTACAGTTTTCATTATCCTACACTCTCAAACTTTGCTCCAAAGCAAGCTGTTTCACTTCCCTTGCCTATACCTATTAGTAGGTAGAAAAACTTGTCTCAGCAGCACTGAAATCTTCTTTCCGGTCTAGTTTATAAATACAAGGAGATGTTAGTTCTTCCCAAGGCTAGAAAAAGAAACACCTCAATAGCTTCTACTTAAGTCACTGGAAGTAAGAAATAAGCAGCTCCAAGATTTTCCTATAAGAGGAAAACACCAAGCTCAGCATGACAAGCATTAATCATTTTCACTACCTATGGGAGCAGGCAAGGAGTTACAGCATTCCTACATGTTCTCTTTCAGTTTTCAACATACTAAAAATCAGCCAAGATCACAGAATTATGTGCAATGCATCTTTATCCCTCCAAAAATTATTTTTATAAGAAATGTTGCTTCAAAATTAAATATATTACTTTTTATATTTCACTAATCACATGAACTCAGAATGTGAAATAAATATTGAAAAATATAATCAAATATTTAACAAAGGAAAATAGAAAGAATACCCTAGTTTTTACACTAAAAAGTCACCAGAAGAAGCAAAAAACCAGCAATTGTATAAAAGAATAAGTAAAAGAGCACATAAGGTAAGCAGTGTGGGAGGAGGGAGGAGCAAGAGAAGCAAAGCTGGACTCTACTCCCCCGAGTCTTCTTCCCCACTCAACCGTCATCTCCACTACAATAATTAAATAATGTGTTCATAGACTTTTAAGAGAGGGTGTCCAAGTCTGATTCTTCAGAATCTTCATGCCATCTGTTTCGGAAGTTCCAATCTGCAGAAACAGCACAAACATATGCCCTGCACTGAGGAATTTAAAATTTCAAACCAAAGTCCTAACGTGTGAAAAAAGCCAGGTAGAACCCACAGAAAAAGAACCACTAGGACACAGATTCCATATTTAGGTGCCTACACCAATATGTCCCGACATTTATATGATTCTTAATGCTTCTGTATAGCCACTGACACAGTGGGTAGTCAGCACCTTTAAAAAAAAACAACAGGCCACTTTTATTTATAAAGATAAAAGCCCCTAACTTCAGCTTATGATTTCTAAAATTATTTCCCCCAAATAAAACACTGCACATTTTTGTAATTACATTATAACTTCTGTCACATTTTTGTTAAATGCAGAATTATTGTATGCAAAACCAGGCTTTGAAAAATCTTACACTCCAGGGTGTCACATATTTCTAAAATGCTGGCCTGATACTCTGCTAACCCCCCTCTACAGTTTAAAAATCAGGCTATTTGCCTGCAGCATTTGTTCTCCAACTCCCAACCCTTCTGCCTGCTAGACAAAATTTTTTGCTTATTGATATTGGCAAAGGGTGGAGGAATGTGCAGTGTATTTTAACTACAATGGAGGTGCTTGGAAGCTTCTAGCATTTTGAACTGGTTTATGACTTCTAGCAACAGTCTGTCTTGGTTTAGTAAGAGTCAGCAAAATTCTGCATTCATAAAAATATTTAAGAGGCTAAATCACAACTGTTGTTAGAAACAAATAGCATATTAGTAAAGTTTACTGTCTTCTTTATCAGCTGTGAATGCAAGACTTTCCATTTAAATGTCCCAGTCTACAGTTAAAATGTCAGCTTCCAGTATTTCCTCCAAAGGGAAGATTTCCAGGCCAAAAGGATTCCTGCAGTTTCCAGAAATCTACATCTGTCATTAAAACAAGGTGCATGCAATGTCTAATTGTACACATCTTGACTTCTCATTTGGAACATGGTAGAGCTTCAAGAGGCAGAAGGAACACAGCTCCTATATTCTGTCTTGCAATGAAACCAAATTGCAAAGAAGGAAGAGCAAAGTCTAGGAAAATTGGTCTACCTCTCCTTCCACAACCTAGAAAAACTTTATACTTTTTCCATAATCTAACCTTTTTTAAAATGACATTTCAAAGAGCAAAA